AGTTACTTAACGGTAGGGAGAGAGAGAGAGAGAGAGAGAGAGAGAACATCTTTGATGTTCACTCACTTAGCACACGTATAATTTGGATTAAAGCTAAATCGTAAAAATAAGACCATTTATATGGGCATTCACTATAAACTATAGCAAATAAACTGTGATAATGTGAGAAATGTTGAAGGTGTTTGAATAAATTTTGGTTTGACTTTATCTATTTGATAAATTAAGTTAACCAACTAACATTATACATACTCTTTTGGTTTCTGTACCCAATATTAAAAAAAAATTACAAATGCAATAAAAATATTGGTAACGGCAAGTACCAAAAATAAAAGTATCGGTATCGGGCGAGTACTGGAAAAAGTGGTGCATCCCTATTAATTAGAGTTGAATCTAAACTCTGCAGGGCTCTGGCCCTCCAGGAATTGAGTTTGATACCCCTGCTCTATCGTGTTGGAAATATGCCCTACATCAAACCCAACCCTAATCCTACCCAATAGTGTTAACAAATGCAAAACTGATATAAAATGCGTTTGTTGATGCAACCGTGCCATTTGAACTTACTTATATGCATATTTGAACTGTTTTGTCAAACCGTAGTTACACAGGATTCAAACCGGAGCTACGTCTCCGTACTCTGTGAGTAACCGAACAAACCTACCGTCTATGAAAACCCATAGATATGAAGCTGGATATGTGCGATGCTAATATTCAAAAGCATCAGTTTTCAAATCTCCCAGCATATTAAAATTGTTGTGAAATCATAACATAATATTCTTCAAGTAATTGTGAGAAAATTACACTTTATTAACACTAGAACCGCCACGGGGTAAATTTTACCCGTGGCTGTTTTCTCTGTCCATTGATGGTTTATCAGCATTCGGTTTGCACCTTTTGCCATTATATCTCAGACTCAGCTTCTCCCATCTAAACGATGAGACCTATACTGGTTTTTGCTACAAAACCCGCCCAATTACAACTCCAAACTAGTCTGAAAATAGCCCAGTTGCTTTCGAGGGGGTCCCCCAGTAAAATTCACGTTCGGGGGGTAAAACACACATTTTTTTGGAGGGGTTCTCCTGGTACAATTCACATTCCAGTGCCTAAATATCACATTATTGGGATCGCTTCAACCTGCTGACATAAAATCAAAGACGTCGCATCACTGTTGGTTTCACACTGAACGACTATTTGGGGTAGCATTCAGTTGTTGCTGTGTTCACACTGCACGATGGAACGACAACAGGAGGTTACACACTGCATGACTTCACAATAGGAAGAATCGCCGACAGCTCTGTCTGGTGCAGGGTTGCCAGGTTTTCGCTACAAAACCCGCCCAATTACTACTCAAAACTAGTCTGAAAATAGCCCAATTGCTTTCGAGGGGGTCCCCCAGTGAAATTCGCGTTCGGGGGGTAAAACACAAATTTTTCGGCGGGGTTCTCCTGGTGCAATTCACATTCCAGTGCCTAACTATCACGTTACTGGGATCGCTTCAACCTGCTGACAAAAAAAAAAAAAAACCGGCAGTAATCGCGGAACTCCTCCCCGAACTTCCCGCTGCCCTGTATCTTGGTCTCTCATTGGCTGTAGGTCATCGCCGATGTGTTTCAGCCTCCGATTTCGGGCATTTGTCGGCGATTTTCGCGAAACCTGCCGGCGAGTGAAAAATCGGGCTAAAATCGTGCAGTGAACCTGGCATTACCCGTCCAATGCCGTGAGTCTTGATCTGCCGTCGGATGCCGGCGAGAGCCTCCCGGCCACACAACTTTACCTTTCCGTCATACGTTCGGAGAGGCTTACCCATTCGATGCTGTGAGTATTGAGCTCCCGTCGGACGTCGGCGAGAGCCTCCCGTCTAGACAAACTTTAACGTTAGACATTCTCACAAAATGTATCCACACCCTCCGCACATGTTACCAGCCTCTCAGTACAGCCCGCACACTCGACGCCATGTTCATTCTAACCTTTTAGTCCCGACCTCCCGCCGAACGCTGTCAGAACCCTCTCAGCTAACCTCAAGTCTTTTCCCCCTGCCTGGCGAGGCTTACGCATTCGATGTTCTGAGTTTGATACCCCATCGGATGCTGCGAGAGCCCTCCCA